GTAGTAACGTAAGTAGAGAGAGAGAGAGAGAGAGAGAGAGAGAGAGAGAGAGAGGGAGAGAGGGGAGGGGAGGGGGAAAATACAGAAAGGAAAATGACAACAACAATAAAATAGATGGAAATCATTCCTTGTTACATACTAACCTGATGACCAGATCCTGTGCTGCCACCAAGGAGTGCAACTTCTCTTCTTGTTTCCCAATGACCAGGCTAACAGGATTAATATTATATTTCTTGCCTAACTGTTCAATTTGATTCTTCATGTCAGAGGCTATTTCAAGAATAAAAAAGTCCAATCTTTAGATTTCCTTCCACTAGTCAGTGAGTAAGACATGTTTCAATATCTCTAAAAATATTTTTTTTCAAAGTTTAGAAGCAAGACAGTCATCTAAAATTCACAAAGTAACCATGTCTTGAAATCAGTTTTACTTCTTTTTTAACAACTGGGGCTTATTTACCTACTGTTATTTCTATACTGTCATCTCTTGACAGGTATTCCAGTACAGGCTCAGATACGTATCCAGATCCAAGAACCAAGACGTTTTTCTTGGTGCCCATTGAAAGGGACTGAGCGCGTTCCCTATTAATAAAAGGGGGGGAGGGGAGAAAATTTTTAAGAAAAAATCTTTATATAAGAAAATCTTGCTATCCCCAAGCCAAACTAAAACTTATAGACTATGAAGCAATAATTTTTCCTACATACTTTACGACAAGAACCTCAACAAAAGTTCCCTATACTAGCATTTTCCACAAATTCTTTTAGATTTTGTAAGGTGAACACTACACCCTGACGTCTCTGCGGTGCATGAATTCCCAGTATCACCAGCGAGGTGCAGATGCTGAACCAATGCCTGGCTGACTCACAGCTGAGTAACTTGGTCTCACACCTTCTCCTTCTCTGGGAACTTAATTCAAAATCATGCTAGAGCCTGACATCAGGAACCTTATTTATTTACTCCTCACAACATCCAGAGGAGACAGCAATCGGTGGAGATTATTATCATCCATATTAGAAACTGTCTTGACGTTTATCTTTAGGGTCACTTGAAAGCAGTTAAAACCATAATTCTGAAATCACAAATATCATGGGTTAAATGCAACAAACCTAAGACGAGTCACTAGGCAGAATTTTAATTCTTAGCCTTTTGTTGTTGTTGTTGGAATTTATGCCTTCCTGACAGATAATTCTTTGTCTTTCCTGCAAACTATGACCTCCAAGACAGTTAACTAAATCATATCCATCTTTATAAACCCATTAATGCTCACTGCATCTTGTCTTAAATATGGAAGATACTCATGAAAGTCTTTTGAATTAAATTCCCAGATGTCACTGTAGAACCACGGAAATGGCTTGGTGTCAGGGACTTAAGCAGAAGGTTCTGTTGTTGGAATCTCTTGGGCCAGGATGTCTCTCAAACGTTAACCCTTTCAGTAATTATAAGTGAATAAAAATAAATTTAAATATAAAATGTCTCTACCCACCTTCACCCCCAATGCTCCTATTACTGATGACATGAAGTCTCCTTCACCTTCTGCCCCCATCCCATCCCACCTCCCAGAAAGAAACACTACTACTAGACTACTGTATATCCTTTCTAACAACACTTTCTATGGGTTGTGTAACTGAAACATGTTATTGTGATATCCAAAAAATAAAGTGTTCAAAATACACTTTTAAAAACTTGCTCCTAAGTTTTAATACTGTCCACCCCATCAGCCACCCCAAACACTCCAGGTTAATAATCACTCTGGTAAGGAATGAAGAGAACAAATGGATAAGGCAGGGTTCAAGATAGCTCAAATTTCCTTTCAAAATGCAGTCTTCATTATCAGTCTCTTGGCACCAGATCCCTCCTGGGAAGGCAGACAGGAAGTCCTAGCAACTGGAGCCAAGCAGACCTGCTGCTACATGAAATACAGTATATAAAGAGGGAAGGTATCATCGTGACTGGTCATGGTGGGCACGTCATTGGGATTAGTAACATACAAGATCATCAGATGCGGAGAATCCAAAGACACACAGAGCTACATCAAACAAATACGTGGGCAGCTTTCCCCTATGAGACACTCTCCTATGGGGTTATTGAGCTAGTGGCCTTTTTTTTTTAACTTTTTTTGTTGATTTATAATCATTTTACAATGTTGTGTCAAATTCCAGTGCAGAGCACAATTTTTCAGTTATACATGAACATATATATATTCATTGTCATAGTTTTTTCTCTGTGAGCTACCTACCATAAGATCTTGTGTATATTTCCCTGTACTATACAGTCTATAATCGGGCAGGATTTCAAAATTGTAGAATAGCTAGTGGCCTTTTTAAAAATATATATACACACTCTTGATATCATGCCAAGATACTTCACTGACACATAATAAGTAACCGTAAGCTACATACACCAAAAAAGACATAGTAGTACTCGATCTGGTCAGATCTCTATTTACTCTCTGTAGGGTAAAACTACTGAGAAACAAGATCAGACAGTTTCTTTGTTTTTAGTTTTTCCACTCTGGCTTCTCCTGAGAATTTAGTGCATAGGTTACTTTGTTAAATGTTAATAGACAAGTGGAACAGATATAAACATAGATCAAATGCAATCAGCTGAAGAAGACCAGAACGTTCCAAAGAAAGGTCAATGTTTCCGAAGTGTGAGTAGTAAACCCAGTAAAGGAAACAAGAGCCTTTTCTAAAAGAACTAGTCTCTTGAGCAGATTTGCCGCATAACGTTTCGGTGCCTTCCTCCTTGTAAGAATGCCCAAGGAAAATTGGCCTCTCACCATTTTCTCTCTTCACTACTTTTTAAAATTTCTCACCAAGAGCCCTCTTTGCTGAGTATCATCTTAAGCAAAAAAGCATCCAAATTCTTAGCTAAAAACCAAACTGAAGCCAGTGTGAAAGTGTTAGCGTGCTCATTTTCTTTCGAGAGAATAACTGAGACATTACAACGTGCAAAACTCTAGAGAAAGCAGCAGAGGAGACCCAAAGGACTGCGCTTTTGGACTTCTGCGTGCTCACACAACAGTCTACAAAGGGTATTAGACGGCCAAAATTACGTTACAATACCGTTCAAGAGGAAATAATTCATGTTGGTTTTGGCCAGTCACTTAGCTTGAATTTCCTACATTTACAGACATTTAAAAAAATGTATATATACCTAGTATCACGAATTCACATGGGAGCATAAACAATACTCATGAGACCCCAGGTCAGACTAGAAATATCAAACAAGAGGATCTGAACAATGCTTACCTGCTCTCTCGGAGTTTCTGGATATATTTGTATTTATCAGACAACGTGCCGTTGGATGTAATTACTGCCTAAAGGTATACGACACAAGACATTTCTTTAGTCACTTCATTTAGTTCCACAAACATGGGCTCACGACTAGTACAGGAGAGACAGGGTGACACAGATACAGAAAGGCAGGGAGAGAAAAAGGGAAAGAGGGAGAGGGGAGTGACGCTGGAAATACATTCATGAAAAGAGATTATCTCCGTAACTTACGTCTCGAACCACAGGAGAAAAATTCTGACTCTCAAGAGACTGTGTCGCATCTGATAATATCTGAAAGGGAAATGAAATTGGAAAGAGATAAATGGCATTGTAAAGGAGGCTTCTCGCTACTTATATCCATATTAAAATGTTAGCCAAAGGAAAAAAAGAATTTAGAAAACAGCTTTCTGAAAAATCACTGAATCGTATAAATAATTGGTAATAGAAGTTTTCTACAAGCAACGAATTCTGCCCCTGAGAGCATGCTACTTCCGTATAATTTCTAATTCTAAAACCAAACATTTAATTATAAGCATCTTTGCTTGTTGGAATCATGAAAAAGCTTACGCTTCCCCACCAGCGTGATGTGTCATATTGAGCACACAGGCAAATACCACCGCGAGGGTTACAGCCGTGGTCCTCACTCTGAGGGCCCCCACCCCAGCCCCAAGGGCCAGGCCGTTCTATCAGAAGTGGAGAACGGGTGTTCCAGACAGCAGGGCCACCAACCCTCCAACAGGGAGTCTCCCTCAGGTCAGTATCAGTCCCATGCATAGGCACGTCAACATTTCAACAACGTCAAGTCTCAAGGAAAAATGACTTCACCTCGTAGATCTCAGAAAGTCATTCACGCTCTCCCCATTATCTCACAGGAGTGGGTCAGATGGCCAACAAAAGCCACATCTCTCATATTAACATCCCAGCATCCTTCTAGTCCTCCTTTTTTTCCCCCAAGGAATCCAAGTCTTGAACAGACTACCAGGGGGTAAAAGTCATCTAAGTCAGCAGTGCTACTTCTGATGAGCCGGGCCGGAGGGCTAATGAGACAGTCGCGCCCTCCTCATCCAACGGTTAAGGTCTAGCACACTCGCTCAGCTAAGAAAGGGCAAAACGTACCCACCAGATGCTGGCAGAACAGTATTTATTTACTGTGTTAAAATAAATATTTAAACCACTTTAATGTATCCCTGGGATATGGGCTTTAGGGGGGTGGAAAAAAGATAAATAGACATATTCACAAGCCAGGGCGTCCTTTGGGAAACTCATGGAATCAACACACCTGGGGTCCCCTGCTCCTTTCTCCTGGGCACCTCTGGAGTGTTCCCTTCTCAAGCCGACTTCTCCACCTTCCAACTCTGTCTACGAGCCAGGAGCCATGCGGAGACAGCAAAATGAGCTCAAATTTCACCTGTATAGGTTGAAACCGCTGAGCTCTTGTGTACCTTTTCCCCCTCTCTGCTCTTTAATTCCACAGCGTTATTTAGGCCTTGCTGGGACCACAGGAACCACTTCCCACTCCTCTTGCTTCCATTTATCTCCAATCTAAAACACAAAGCTGATTATTTTCCCTATTTTAAGTACTCCGTAGCTTTCCATCGCCCTCTAGACAGTGTCAGGCCCCCTACCTGGCCTCCGCAGTCAGGCTCTGCCTCTCCTACCCAAACCCTCCCTTTTTTTTTTTTTTAAACAAATTGAAGGTTTGTGGCAACCCTGCACCGAGCAAGTCTGTTGGGCCATTTTTGCAACAGCGTTTGCTCATTTTGTGTCTCTGCGTCACATGTTGGTAATTTTCACAATATTTCAAACATTGTCATTATTATTATATTCGTTATGTTGATCTGTGATCAGTGATCTTTGACGTTACTACTGCAAAAGGATTAAGGCTCACTGAAGGCTCAGATGATGATCAGCTTATTTTAGCAATAAAGTTTTTAAGTTAAGGTATGTACATTGTTTTTTTAGACATAATACTATTGCACACTTAACAGACTACAGTATAGTGTAAAACTAACTTTTATATGCACTGGGAAACCAAAAAGCTTGGCAGTTCTTTTTATTGCTATGTTCACTTTATTGCAGTGGTCTGGAACCGATCCCACAAAATCTCTGAAGTATGCTCCGAGGTACTTTAAATACAGCTCCCATACAGTTATCAGAAGAGAACGCAGACATGTATACTTCATTTTTCAGTGGTAAGCAGATACACATATATCAAGGCTGCAAAGAGACAGTCACCAATTTTCACAAACATCCAGTGCTTAAAAATAGGCTGAGGATAGATGCCACCAAGGCGATCCCACCACACTGCTGAGGAGGAAGGTGCTGGCTTCGTCATTGGACATCTAAGCAACACCTGGGCTGGCCAGAAATCTCCGACACCTCATTGTCTTACGTAACTCACCATGTCCCACTGCCTAAAAGTCTATCAGCTACTGATTTAAGTACATACAAGCATATCACCTTTTTTAATGTATGTTTTCCATCCAGCAGTGGTGACTTAGCACTTTTCAGACCAATCCTCCAACTGAGTAAAATCAGGTAAAACCTGACAAGTCTCAGCCTTTAGGTTCAAAGGTAGCAAAGACTTGCTGCACCACAGTTCTGGAGAAGGAAGCCCAAAGAGAGGAGTCCAACACTTAGCACCACTTTTCTTAGACGTAGTTGCCAATGTGGAAGCAGAGGCTGGGATGCTGAGAGGTTGAGCACCAAGCAGCAGAGAGACTGAGAAACTGAGAAGAGCTTTGGGCCGACTTTAAGCAATAGGGTACCAAAAACTGGAGTTTAAGTTCTGCTGAAGGGGACCCTAGCAAAGGCCAGATTTTCATTTGAGACCCTGAAAGCCTGTATTCTAAAGTAAATGGTAAACTGAAAACCACTGGGTCCCCAAAGGACTAAAGGCCAGCTCTGAATGGCCTCCACCCCTACCTGAATTGAGGTGACTTTCTCCTGGCCTATCTCCCTTCCAGAAACAAAGGAAGTCTTCTTTGGGGAAAATGACACAACATCCAGAGCCTCAAATCATCTCTAAAACTTTACACACTCAATTTTCAGCATTCAATTACAAATAAACAGGTATAATAAGTGGTAAGAATTGACTGAAAACCAAGAAAAAAGTAAAACAGAGAACATAAGCAGACCCCAGATGTTTACTGAAATTATCAGAAGTGAGTTTAAACTCTGACTAATGTGTCCAAAAAAAAAAATTTTCCCCAAAAAGGTAAACCTAATCCATAGTTATTAGACAAGATGGTAGGTCCCTTTAGGAAGGAGAGTGGGAATCATGCTGGGAGAGGCACAAGGGGGTTTCTGGGATGTTAATATTGTTCTATATCCACCTATGTACTGTTTACCTGGGTGTCTTTGTCATAATTTATCATGCTGCATACTTATGCATCATCTATCTGTGCCACTTTAATATTTACACTCTTATACAATGTAAAAAATTATATTTTGTTCTTTAAAAAAAATTTTTAATTATCCCTCATCAGTTACATGGGCTAACCCTCAATCACACCTTTCTAAGAGTTCACTGAATTGGCTTGATTTTCTCCAAACGTCTGTATGAGATCAACTGTACTGAATGAATGGCAATTTTGATTAAGGACAAATTGAAGTGAAAAAACGTTCTAAGGGCCAAAAGAAATAAACTTACAATTGAATTTCTGAAACATAATAATTTGTGAGTTGAAAATGGCTTGGAACAACTTCTTAGAGTGGTTGATGATGCCAGAGCAACCAGACATTCCAAGACATTCCAAGAAATAACAGTCAAACCCACCCGCAAAGACAAATGAGCATTCAACGTTTCCCATAATTTGATGTAATAAGCTAAGAGTTGCTCTGAACTACATACCACTGTGTCTAACCAGGATAATACCTGCTGCCTGCGTTTTCTAGAGCCTGTTAGGTCTCCCTGCTGACTTTTTCAGAAAGGGTTAAAATGGAATAGTATGAGAAAGCCAGGAAGGTCACAGACTGGAAGTCGCACCCTATTCATGCCTCACTAACTACCGTCCCGTTTAAGAGTGAGAGCTCCTGGGTGAAACTGTGGATGCAAAGGCCAAGAGCCACTATTCATGCCTTTGGAACCACGGCCAGAGGCAGACAGTCATCAGCAATAGAAATAAAGCAGGAGGGGGATGAACACGGGCTACACACTGAAACAAGAAAGATTTTCTTAATAAAGAAAACGGAACTTGCACAGTATTTCAGCATCCAATCACTGATCACAGTGAAAGATATGCGACCAGAACACAGGTTGTCATTTAACTGTCATTTAACATTAGTGACTAAAATCCAGTAACATTTTCTATATTTATGATCTTTCAAATCTGCTAATCACAGGGCAGTAAGAATGTCCCAGAATGAACTGACCTAGGAAGCAGGGGAAAGAAGTTAAATTAAAGCAAATATTTTATCACATGTCAGGAACACTCTTAATAAAATGTGCATGATAAGAGGCAAGTGCAGTGGTAACTAAGCACGGAGGTGGTTATACAATCATATTTCCCAAACGGCAAGTAAGCAGAATATGTAAAATAAGAGTGTCAATAAGTACTTTGGGGAAGGGCTGGCATTTCATTTTACAACAGATTTCTTAGACACGGAAGACCAGAACATTCATAAGATCATTATTCCACTGTTCTTATTAAAGCCACAGAGGTGCTGCGGACGCGACCCGTCTGCTTACCATCTCTTCAACATAAGGGTAAAGCATGTCTCCAAAGTATTCTGTAGCTTCAATTGGAAGCTGTGCCGGCAAATTGTCAATGGAACACATCAGAATCCCAGAGCCTTCAACACTAGGAGAAGCAACACGCTTTATTCAGACGGACAAAATGTTATTTGTAAGCGCTAATGTTTCCAGATGTTGACTCCATTACATTTGTTTCATAATCATTTGTGACTCTGTACCCCAGTTACCCCAGTACATAAGAAAACAAACAGGACTTTTCAAACAACACTTTTCCCTTCTTCGGCAACCCGTCTCCCATTTAAATACAGTACATATGTATTTAAGCTTTCAGATTTTTATGTGGTTTTTCTATCAATTTTTTTTAATATGCTTGAACGTATCTCTGGAAATTTGCATAGCCTTCCTACAGATGTAAAATATTGACTATGTTAGCCTCATATTCCCAAGTGAGCAAATGATGTATCATCTCAGCTTTAGCGAACTCACCTGCCGTGAATAATATGCTGATCTGCATCATACATGCAAAAGGGACGCTCAATTGTTGTGCACTCCGTCATAAACTCAATAGACCCTCCTGTGTCGGCCGAGATGTCACATATTGCCACAAGTCTGTAAATAACATCGATACTTAGATGAGGGCATGGAACGCTCAAGTTTCCAACAAAATTTAAAATGAATAAAAATGAAAGGTCCTTGAACAATTTTCAGTGTAGATGCCAAACATCTCTGAGGCTCTCAGCTCTTTATCCTATAGCTCACTGTTCAGGAAACTGATCTTCTGGGATATAGAGAATCTTCCCAGTAGCAGTTTTAGTCTCCACAAGCAAAAGGAAAAAGAGGAGGAGGAGGAAGCGGAGGGAGGATGAAGGAAAAGGAAGAGAGAAAAGTAAAAACAAAAACCCATACCTTGAGAAATCATTGCGAGCAGCCTCAAGTTAACGAGTTTGCCAACTTTAAATCACTTACAAAGGTTTCATTACACCATCCCCATCCTGCTGAATAGTACATGATTTTACATATTATGACAGAAATCTCTGTAATTAGGAACAAAAGTCTCAGCCTAGGATTCAAACTCCTTGAGCAGCTGACCAGTTTTCCTGCCCAACCTCCCAATTTCCATTTGCCCATATAAACTTCATACTGGGGCTAGACTGTCCCACTCATTGTCTTAAATTGTGCTTTGATGGCTCCATATTTATCAAACACCAATCCTATCACCTGAAATTCTTATTCTCCTCACTCCTCCTAAAGGCCTTGCTGCGCCCTCGCTCCCACTCTCTTCTACACTCTTGTGATACTGGTTGCTCCTAACATTCCCTGGGCATTTACTTGGTGCCAGCCACATGCCTGAAGGTAGCAACCATGTTTTTCCTCTGCCCTTCAGCTTAGCAGAGTGCCAGGCAGACCAGGTGTTCCACGAATACTTACTGATTAATTAATTTATTCAACACCTAGTAATTATTTGAATGACTACTATATGTCAGACAATGTACTGAGTACATGTGACCAGGATAAATAGGGCCCCTGTCCTTAGAGAGATTAAGTTCTAGTAGGGCAGGGAAAGTCATAAACACAGGGAAATAAATGATCATAAATTTCAGGGGAAAAAACCCAGTAACAGACTGAAGGGAGCTGGGAACATGGAAGCAGGAGACGACCTCTCTGAGGAGCTGCCTTCTGGGCTGCATGTGGAGTCACAGAAGTTAAGAGAATTCCCAGGAGGGAAGGTTAACTGTCAATGTCTGCCAGGAGGTCGAACAAGACAAGGCAGACAACTGGCCATTGGTAGTCAAGTCTTGTGATGTGCGGGTCCCCGATGTGTGACACCCTCACAGGGCCTGGCTGAAAACTGCCATTACTGCTGAAGTCCTTACTTGTGTGGCAGTGCCGGGCAGCCTTCAACACCAGCACCTGAGGACTTGCCTGGAGCCAGCAGACTCTGAGCATCTTGGCGAGTGAGCAGACGAGGGGTGTTCTGTTCCCAGTAGATTCCATTAATTAAACAAGTTGTATACGGTGCGATCTGTAAAGCAAGTTCCAAGTTCAAGGAGAGAGGAAACAGCCTTTCTCAAAGCAGGGTGCTCAAAGAGACCTACCAGTCAAGTTCATGAGAAGTAATTTAACGTTACTTCTAACTGACTTTGTTATTTGCCAAGTCGTTCGCCACCTTTCGAGGCAGAGACAATAAATACCCACCCAGATTTCTGTGAAGAATTACCCCCATTATAGAGAAATATATGAACATAAATATATTAATATTCCCGTTCTGTAATGCGTTGCGTAGCTAAGAAAAAGGAAATAAGAGAAATTCCAGGGACCTAGTGCTCTATTTCCAGCTCAGTCTCTAGTTGGATGTGCTCTCAGTCATGCTACCTCAACTTCTCTGGGCTCTGTCTTCCTTACCTGCCAGGCGGGGATAATACGTACCCCATTCCTCAAAGGAATGCTGTGAAGATTAAATCAGATAACATCTGTAAGCTCCACGGACAAGTGTGCTACGTGCATGCGTACATGGTAACTAGGTCAGTATACATTTTAGGATGCATCCAACCACCCCACACTTCTGTGATTGGAAAAAAGAGAAGGGATGGAAATATACTCGATTCAAGGTTTTTCAACTTGAAATGAGTTCTATAACCGTTTCTCAAGCACCTCAAGCATGCTCAAGCTACAGGTAACAGCCCTTCTCTGTAACATGCTCTACATGCTATGACGCTAAGTTTCACACTAGCATCTAAAAGCGTTATATTCTTCAAACATATTTAAAATGACTTAAAACATTCCTTTTCACAATAGGAAATAAGTGCACAATAGTGCCTACACTTTGGTTGGTTTATTTTGAGGAGGACTGTACAGTGACTACAGAGCCCACAAACATATTATCCTTCTCACAGGATGAGACCAGTGTCTCCCCATCAGAAGGATCGGAGTTGGAAAGAGCTTTTTTGTAGAGTGGGGATGGGTCCGTGCTTATACAGGTAACTCTTTCATCCTGTCCCCTGTAATCCACGGCATGTATTTCAAGAAGACTAGCTAAGCTTATGGCTGCAATTTGTGGCCATAGAAGGGACAGACCTATGTTGAGCTCACACCTCACAGACATTGTGCTTGGTCAACAGTACTAACTAGTTCAGGATTAAAAATGGAAAATGGTAATCCACAGGAAATGGTTTAGAGCTATTGGGTACACCCAGACCCGGAGTAGAAACAGACTCAGTGAAGCAAAGGGCATGCCCACAGAAACCGCCAAAGCCACTGAGCAAAGGCCAGTCCGAACATCAGTAAAAGCCAGCAACTCCTGAGGCCACCTCACGGTCCCCAAAGGGCTCACGAGGTAACACGGGGAACTGACACCCGGTCCACACACTCACAGTTTCTCTCTTTGAAAGCAGCCTAACTAGGGTGTAGCATGAGCAGCCAAGCCCGCAGCATTGGTGCGATACTCACGTCGGTGCTAAACCGGCTGGTGTAGCGCTCAGGGTGCCTGTCATACTCCACGGGGTCATACACACCGTCGGTCTTCCTGACGAGATGATGATGGCGACTTAACACCGTCCCGTACACCTTCCTCAGATCTTGCAGAGGAGAAAGAAATTAGCAGAGTGGGTCATGAATGATGAAGATTTATGGTGATAAAATATTATAACACAGAAACCATTCAAAACAGTAAAGGATGCATGCAGTCCCCATTCCCTCCCCCTTTACCTCCAGTTTGGGAAACTTCTTTTAATTCGTGCGGCTCCACGTATTCACAAGGTAATTCACTGAAGATCTCTTGGGCTCCCTGTAAATAAGGCATGAATGAAAATCTAAAAATCAATAGGAAAAGAATTAACACAGTTTCCTGTGAAGATTCCAACCCATCTTCCCCACAACTCCACAGCCTGACTTGTCCTGCCCGCATACTGGACCACATCACAGAGCACAGATCAGCTTTTTGCATGTGGGCTGCAAACCAGCTTTTATTCCCGTTTGAACACCACATTGGAAGGGGCTTTATTTGTTTCACTTCAGTTACTCAGAGTAGAAACAAGAGTGTTTATAAATGGCAGTACAATAAAAATATTTCTATTTATTTTTTGCCTCATTGCAGAAATTATTTCAGATAAGGAAACTGTATTTCCTAGAAGAAAAAAAACACTCAGATGACTCTCTCACAGTATAATACAAAACAGTGATGTCCTATTGGTAAAATATTTTCATTGAAGAAATATCTATTTTACAATTACAAGTTACTCTGGGGGATCACAGATGCATTCTAAAAACCATCCCAGAAGGAAGAAAGTATTAACTCCAGTCCTGAATTTAGTTTCTTAGCATCTTATTGGCAAAACTCCAAGTAGTCTTGAAAAATTTACATCCTGGGGTCCAGTTCCAAACTTTTAGACATCTCAGGGATGGAGCTAAAACAGAACACCCTAAGAACCGACCTTTACACAACAAGGAGTTATCCTTCTAAAAAGAAAAAAAAGAAAAGAAAAGAAAAAGCAGCCAATGTCTCTAACAGCTTAGAACCAACTAAAAGCAAAGACAGTAAGTTTGGACCTTTACCATGGGAAAACTACATAGGTAGGAAAAGTACCCCAAACAGAATGCAGTCACGGAAGAGACAGGCTGTGAAATGCCCACAAAACTCCCACATCCTTTGGGTGACTGTCAGAGTTTCAGGCTGCTTTACACAAAGAAGGCGGTTGGAATTTACCTTAGATACGTTACCAGTCCCCGTGAACACAAATGTTAAGGGCCCTATGGACTTCGGCATCAAACCCAGAGAGATTTCATAGCCAGCGTCGCGGACAGCTTGCACAGCCTGACTGCTGTTCCTGTAGTTATGAGCCATGCCGATGTGCTGCAAGCAAGCACACGCGGTTCCAGTCAGTCTACCACCCGAGACGTGTTTCTGTTCTTGAAATGTGATATGCAGTTACAGAAGAAATAAACACAACAAACATCTCACCATAAAAGGGGTGTGGTGTCCCAAAGCAAGGAGCCTTAAACCCATTCCATGTAAAATGTTGATCATCCCTGTGGCGGAGTCAGACCAGTAGACAGACCATTAGTCAGGAGGAGTCGAAGCTGTTCTCCCTGCCCGTTCTCCAACCTACTCGGTGCTCTGAGAAAGCGCAGACCACAGCATCCCAGAGTGGGAAGGGACCCCAGTAGTCATCTTCGCAATCCCCTCAGCTTTCTGCCATCAAAAGCACTAGCCCAGCTGCGTCCCTACCGATTCCTTCCACTTTTCTGCTAAAATGGAAAGAATGCCCCTCTCCTTCTCTAGGGTTAATTTCTCCACCTTTGCTCCACATCCCAGTTCCTTCCTTTCTCTCTCTCTCTCTCTCTCTCTCTCTCTCTCTCTCAGGAATTCACTCTTGAATTATGTCTTTTCTTTGTCCCTCTCTATTGGTTCTTTCTTAGCACCATTTAAACACGCCTCCATTTCTCTCGTACCAAAAACAAATGACCAAGCAAAAACAAAGTCACCACTGACACTATGAGCTGCCCCACGGCCCGCCCATCAGCTACTTCAGTGACCCACGTAGCTAAACTCAGTGGGCACTTGTCAGATCTTGACTCACTTTTCAGAGCCACGAGGAACTCTCCTTCCATTAGCACATGCCTGACTCAAACATTCCACCCTACGTCCCTGCAGGCTCCTCTTCCCACGCCCACCCCTCCTATCGTGGTGTCCCCTGTCCTTTCCTGAACACCAGTCACACTCAGGATTCTGTTCCAGGCTCTGTTCTCTTCAATCTCTACGTATCTTTTCCTTAGTTAATCTCATCCAGTCCTAAATTTTAAGTACTCTCTCTAGACTGATGACTCCAAGCCTGTATCTCTAACACAGGTATTTTATTTCAAGACCCAACCAACCACCTTATGAGTCTCTCACTCTGGGTGTCCTTTAGAGACCAAATACTCAGCATGCCTGTAGAGAAGACTTCATTATTCACTCTCCTCTTCTTTTCAGCAATAGAACTTTCCCTCTCTGTACCCTGGCTGAATTTTCTTTGACCTACTGATGTCAAACTTTTAAAGGAATAATTTATATATAATAAGTCACCCCAATTTAAAGTGTATAGTTTGATCACTGGCAACAAACGTACTCACCCACATTACCACCAACATAACCAAGATACAGAACATTCCCATCACCCCACTCAACCCTCCTCAATGCTTGGCCCCAAACAACGACTGATTTTGTCTGTACAGTTCCTTCTACAGTTTGATACAAATGAAATGAGTCTTTGCTCTTTTTTGGGTGTCTGCTTTCACTCAGCACGATGTTTTTGAGATTCGTGAGTACTCTGTGTGTATCACTAGTTTGCTTTTGTTTTTTATTGCTGAGGAGTTTTCCAATGTGTGCATGTACCACCATTTACTTATCTCTCTGCTGAGAAGCATTTGGATTGTCTGGGCCATTACGAATGCAGCTACTACAAATAATTCTTTACAAAACATAATTTGTTTCTCTTGATAAATGCTTGTGAGTGGAATTTTGTACACTGACATTAAAGTTCTTTATTTTTTCTTGAGTTGGTTTTGGAAACGTGTGTCTTTCTAAGATTTGTCTCTTTCATCAATGTTATTACATTTATCGGCCTATTCATAATTTTCCCTTATCCTTTGAACGGCTATAAGATATATAGTGTGATTCCTCTGTATTCCTAATATTGGTAAATACTGGCTTCTCTCTTTTTCTTTTTTTTCTCTCTTTTTTAAATAGTCTAATAGGAAGTTTAACAATTTTATTGATTTCTTTTAAAGAACCAGATTTTTATTTTCTCCACTGTTTTCCTGTTTTAATTTCCTTGACTTTTCCCTCTTACCTTTATTATTTCCTTCTTTCTATTTGCTTTGATTTTAAATTCTTCATTCTCTAGCTTCTTATGATGTAAGTTTAGATCATTAATTTGAGAACTTTCTTTTTTTCCTAATAAAAGCACTCAGTGCTATAAATTTCCTTCTAAGCACTACTTTATTTGCATCCCCCAAATCTTGGTACGCCATGTCTTAAATTCTCATTCAATTCAAAATATTTTTTGATTTTTCCTGTGATTTCCTCTGAACGTAAGGGTTACTCAAAAATACACTGTCTTCCAAATATTTGGAAATTTTAAAGCTCTCTTTCTATTATAATTTCAAAGTCAATTTTATTATAGTCAGAGCACATACTCTGTGATGTCAAACCTTTTAAATTTATTAAGAATTGTTTTGTGACCCAGCACAGGGACCATCCGGATGAACTTGAAAAAGACACGTGTTCCATGTTGAGTTGCCGGGGGCGGGGGGAGTGCTCAGGACCTGCCACTGACGTCGGTGTGGCTGGTACGGCTTTAGCACCGTATATCCCTGCACATTTACTGTCCGCTTACTCTGATGACTACAGACATCCAAGCAGTCTCACCTGATACAGAGTCATAACATGTGGTGCTTCTCAACTAAAGACAGTTCAAAGTACCAACTGGGACAAAAGTCCAGTGAAGCTTTTCTCCGGCTCTTATCCTTGCTTGACTGCTCCTCTGCTGGTTCCTGCCTGTACCTGTACCCTCTGTTTTTCCCTTTCTTCCATTCTTAAGTTTCTCATCACCAAATTGACCTCTCCTTCTATTCTTTCAAATAGAACTACCTAAAATCCAGAGCCTAGCCATACTGGTTATCCTTCTCTCTGCTTTTTCCTTTTAATTTTTGTAATACATATAGTATGATGATTCACCTTCCTATTCTAGCCCCCTGACAGTCATAACCCTTAGTCGCACCCCCATGTTTATTTTTATTGGTGGAAGTGAGCCACAGAAAAGAGACAACATACAGTTACTCTCCAGGCAAATGTATAAAGTGGGTGAGACAACCGCCCTGGCATACCTACCTGCCACACCTGCCCACTGTCCAAACGCCACTACCCGTATTCCTCTATGATCCACCATTTTCTCATAGTCGATAAGGCGGACTTCCTGAAGAAAGGATGAAAAATTTCTCAACCAGACCCATCAAGCTTAATTTTAATGAGTAAAACACATTCACAAGCAAGTGAGCATTTCATATTTTTTCCTCTTATAAAATGTATCTTGCCTTGCTAACATAAATTACCATCAGGTGCACAATGAAATACTTAGAAAATGCCAGGTCACCAACCAAGGACAGGGTTGTGATTAGAGATGAAAGGAAGGTCCTAGCAGGGAGTCAAACGCCCCTAATAGTAGTCAGTAAAAGAACAAAGGCATGATTTCCTTTAACTTTTAGCCCAGCACCATCTACAAATAGGTCTACATAATGACCCATTCATCCCCATGTCCTTCCTTCTGGTCTCAAAAAGAGTCCTTCCTGAGACTAATCCCAGTGAGCTAGAGCTCAGCTTTTTTCTAAATCCTCCAAGACAACTCTTCTTGAATTTTTTCTCTTTCTTGCATTGCCCCCCTGTAATTACAGTGTTCCTTCCTTTCAGTTACTCTAAAAACACCCAGATCTCTCTTCTACCTTAAAAATAACAACACTCCTTCTCAAGTCCGTACACAAGTCTTTCTCTGTCTCTCCCTCTCTTTCTCTGGCTCTGTCTCTTTCTCCATCCTTTCACAAGTAAGCATCATTTTCAAAGTAGCACATGCTGCCTGTTTTCATTTCCTCACCTCCATAAAACCACGTTCTTCCTCTTTCCTTGGGCATCTTCCCTCTCTCTTGGAAATGTCTTATAAATTCGTGCATTAAAAAATACATTATATTATATTGTAACTATAGAATGTTTTAAACAGTCATTTTATTTCCTCAGATAATATGATTTTACCATGTGCATGAGCTTAAGAATACTTTACATTCATTCAACTACAAGTAACTGGCTACAAAATGTTGAACAAAAGCAGCCCTGCTGGGTCTGTTTTTATTAACTTTCTTGTAATGAACAAAAGTTCATATAACAAAAAAATGTTTCTAAGGTAATTTTTGAGGAGTTTATCTGCTTAAAGTGAAACACTCTTTCCATTAAGTACTTTTTGAATTTGTTCTTCAGAAATACTGCAAATTAACTACAGCCACTATCCAGTGTATATGAAATTAAGAGACTGTATTCCATACACCTATGTGAAATATATTTTCTCCCCATGCTCTTACTGTTTGTGAACTCTCCTGTCTTCTGCCTATTGTGAGATTAGAGTCTAGTTTCTGGTGCCTAACGTTCTTATCCCAGGACGTGGACCTTGAACGTCATCTACACTCACTCCTTGCTCTCATCCAGTCTCCTGGCTTTAGCTACCATCTAGTCTCTGACAACTGCCGAATGGGTATCAGGAGAAGCCGCCCTCCTGAGCTACAGACTCATAGCCAATGACCCACTCAGCATCTCCCCTTAAATATCTAATGGGCTAATCAAACTCGACAGGCCCTAAACTCAACTCCTGACCCTCCCATCCAAGTCTGCTCCTCTTGGAGTCACCCCACCTCACTCTACAGGAACACCTTCCAGTTACTCAAACCAAAATCTTGGAATCATCTCTGACCCCTCCCTCTCTCATAGTCCACGTTCATTTCATCAGTGAGTCCTGGAGGATCAGACCTCTAAAATACATTCAAGATTTGTCCGTGCATGACAGCCTCCACTTCCGCCACCCTCATGTAAGCCTCCATTATTTATGACCAAGCATCTGAGCTAGTACAAGCCAACAGTCTGATCAGTTTTGCTCTCCTCCTGTCACCTCCAACTATTATCCACACAGGAGGCAGAATAAACATTTTAAAACATGATTTACTCTAATCCTCCACTCAAAAAGACCGCCAGACCTCAGCACTGCTATTCTCTCAGCTTGGAAGACTTTTCCCTGGCGGATGTGGCTTGATCCCTCACCTCCTTCAAATTTTTGTTCAATGTCAATTTCGCAGCAAGGCACTCCCTGATCATCCTATTTAAACTAACACTGCCACTCCTTTTTTTTCTGTATCATATTTATCTCCACTACACATATCACCAAATGACACATGAGATGTCATTTATTTATCATCTGTCTCCTCCCACTAGAATGTAAGCTCTGCTATTGCAGTAAACAGGGTCAGACACATTGCAGGCACTTGGTAAATATTGGTTAAGTGACTACTCTGTATTTTAAATGCTGATAGTTTTTTCATGGTATTTTTAATCTCAAAAAAAGTTTTTTTTCCCTTATGAATGTTAATAAATGTAAAAATAATCTCCAGTCCAGTTCTGGTACTACAGAGCTGTGCAACCTCAGTCAAGTCACTTCACCTCTCTGGGCTCCATCTGAAAAATTAGGGTGGTGGCTTACATGATCCCTGAGGTTCTTTTCGGCTCTAAAAGTCTACTTGGCAATATTTGACTAATTAACCTTATAAATTAATAATCATTTGGGTCAAATGCTTCTATCATTCTTTCCATTTCAGAATACAAAAGGAATGAAATCTGTTTGGTTGCTCTTATGACAAACTCTAAACTTGCCCAGCAGAGGAGCCCTAAGTGCAGCAGAGCTATTCAAGCACCAACTCATAGATCACTTTTCCCATCGAGGTGAACAATTGATGCTGAAAGAAAGCTAAAACTCCACTTGACAGTTAAAAGAAAAAAAAATATGTGTCTATGTTAACATTTATGAATATTGGTCACTAATTACCTTTTTTAGAAGCTCATCCAACAAACCCATATTGGCCTCCTGAGCCTTTATTGTGTGGGAGAAGAACGCATAAGTCTTCTTGGACATTAATTTTTCCTCTGGGGGTCTTTTAACTCCCAAAATGAGACAAGCTTCAGAAATATCCTCTTGAAGAATGCCACCAGCTTTGACATATTCCTGGGAATGTAATTTTGGTTAAAAGTTATTCCCTTGCTTCGTCGTATCTCTATTTTCTTTAATAAATAAATGTAGCCATTAAAGGTACAACCTTTTGAAGGGATGAAATATAAGGAACAAATAATAGAAAAGCTACTTTTAATATTTCACCTGCTGGTTAAAGATCAACCTAACATGTCTGACTTCTGTAGCAAAAGCAAAATTAGAAAATTCAGCACACTTTTATTTAAGAACAGTTAATAATTTGCTCATAACCACTAACACATGTGATTTCAGTATACTTGTAAAATGTGCATTTTGTACCAACAATGCCCTGAAACATTAAATGCTAAATAGTAATTTATTACTCAGTTGTATTTTTAAAAGACGGACATAGATACATACAATATTTCCTTTTCTTTTTTGGGGGGGTTCAACTGGTATTTATTACTGCTTTACTCTGTACAGGGGACGGTGCTAGAGATGAGGTGATAAGACACAAAGGAAGACAGGCAAGATCCCTCCTGTAAAGGAGCTCACAAAACACAGTAAGAAAAAAAAGCCAGAGGCACAGTACATGACGTTGAATTCAAAAGAACATTATGATTAGCATAATCTAAGTGATATATTAATTTAATGGATACTGAGATAATTCCCAGGTGACCAAGGAAATAGGGAAATTCAAATTAATCTACAGGCTGGGTAGGATTTGGAAGGATGGAGATGGGAAATACAATATGGTAATATCAGTAAGAGGCATTGAAGTAATATATACAAATACGGAGACAGGAAAGTAAGATGTTTAGGGGCATAATGGGTAAATCAATTTGAGGAACATTTAGGTTACTGATAGTGAATATAAGCTTTATTTATATTAAATACCCTCATGGTGAAAATGACACAAAAATAATAATCACTGATATTTATCAATAAATTACCATATGCTTTACTAAGCTTTTTGCATGAATTATTTCATTTAATTCTCATAAAACTCCCATGAGGAAGGTACTATTATTGCCATTTTGCCCGTGGGAAACCTGAGGCTTAGGCATTTAACGAGATTGCACAGTTAGTACATGGAGGCTACAGACAGTCATTTCAGATTTTTAAATAAAGGGGAGGTATGCACAAGGCAGAATTTTAAAAGCATCAAAGGTGGCAGCTGAATAAAATGAAGATACATCTAGTTAGGAATCTACTTTAAAGGAAAGTACAGATGCATAGGAGAGAAAAGAAAACAATAAATGTACAGTTCATTTGTGGTTTCTTTGAAAACAGTCTATTTGCCCATTTATAGTAGACTGTCTAAATAAATCATGGTAAGTCATGGAGTCATTACAGTGGGGTAATTACGACCCAGCCACTAAGTAGAGTGAAGCAGATCTCTATGAACTAACATGGAGTGATTTCCAGGATATGGTGTAGATTGAACAAAGCCAGGTGCAAAAGAGAACGTATCGCATACAACCTTCTGTACAAGACTGAAGGGGAGCTGAGAACACACACACGTACACACAGACTTATTTTTGCAAGAAGAAACACAGGAATGCGAAGTTAGAAACTGATGACACTTGAAAGCTATGGGGTGGTGGGGGTGGGATGTGGGGGCCTAAGGAGAGCAAGACTTCTCTGGGTCTCATCTTTTTACATGGTTTTGATCTTGGAAACTTGCAAGTGTTCAACTCATTTGAAAAATAAAATTGAATCGAAAAGGATTTAAAAGCAAACGTGAAAGTGTCATTGAAACAAAAATAAATATCCAACCAGGTAGCACATTGACAGTGTAACCGCACAAAAAAACTGATTCAGATAACTTGTGGACACAGCACTCTGTAAGATAAAAATAAGAGTCAAAAACTTGTGTCATAAGATTACAGTGAAGGATAAATGGAACGAGGAATGTCAAGGGCTTCACCCAGTGGCTGGCAGGGTAAAGAGAGGCTCCTGAGTCTTTGTCTCCCCCAGTCCCAGAACGAGGGACGCACGTGAAGGAGTGACTGAAGGACATCATCTCCTAAAAGCAACCCCTTGATTTCGCAGCTGGAGAAGGCATGGAATGGGGTGGAAATAATACTTATTGGCTAAATGCTGGACTCAAAGGATTCAAACTAGAAGTCTCATTATGACTACACGATCTCAGTATAACTAAAGTAAAGGAAAACTGCCATGTGGTATGTAAGTGACACTAGCAAACATTTTATTTTCACTCAGATGCCCCCTAATTTTCACACACAGGGTCATTTTATTCCCACAAATGTAAAGGACTAGAAATACTTGCCTTGTCGTGGATGGCCCGCCGGTTGGAAGGCTGTATTAAGACCTTGTACCCCAGGTTGGTGATCCCCTTGATGTGCCGGGGGGCCAGAGGAGCCCTCCTCTCCCAGGCGTTCACGTCCTCCCGCCGCAGGGCCACCACCGCCTTGTGGTGGAGCCCTCTGGAGCGGCTGAGCCCCAGCCTGCCCGGTCGGGTCCTAAGCACTCGCAGCATCTTGAAACCTGGTGACTGTAAAGACATCGTGAGAGCAGGACAGCACAAGGCAGGAGGGCGCACAGGTTAGTTCTGGTCTCCAGAGAAATCTGTTGTAAAATCCAGCCACCTCAGATGGTAACAGATACAAGATGGAGGAGGGCGAGGGAAAACCTGGATGACGTCAAGTGTTCCTTGACCCGAAAAATGAAAAACAGATTTCCACAAACGAAGTTTTTCCCAAAATAAAAAGATGTCCTGAGCAACTTACGGAATTCTAACCAGTATCTGCTAAGCGGAAATCATTTTTTTTTTTAAATATGCTTTATCAAACATTTATTCAGCACAAAAGTTTTAAGCAAATTAACCTACAAGGTAAATACAGGAAGATAATTTTGCCAACTTTGAAGATATAAAGTTGAGAATCCTTTAACCATGTGTGATGTTCTGGACAGTCCAGCCCCAGCCTCTTCCGAGTTTCACCTCTGCCCGTTCCCTACACCAGTGTGCTCAAAGTGCGTTTCAGAGCCTGCTGTCAGGCAGTGAACTGCTCCTTACTGGTCCACGGTGAGACAGGTACAGAAACAGAAAGTAAGCACTTGGAAACTTTTAGATCACAGGATCGTTTTTCCTAGTAATTCACTGTTACTGAATTTTATAAAAGCATTTATATTTAAGAAACAAAACAAACATGGTCTTCCCCACAGGCATTAGAGGCTGAAGCGCACAGCCCTAAGCCCCCGCCCCCCCGAGACCCCAGCCTCACTTCACTGACCCTTCTGCTGCGCTAAGCACGCTCTTCCCCTTTCCAGAGTTTCCTCCCGTGCCGCATTCTCCTGCTCTTATATTAAACCTGGACCTCTGTCTCCATCACTTTTCTGTTATTCCAGATCATAAAACTCTACCCATTTATTCAATCAAGAAATATTTACAAGAGGCTTACTATGTGTCAGCACAGAGTACATTTTATAGAAATTTTTAAAGCATAAATGTCAAATGGGATATCTTTCCATTTTTTAAAGTCTTCTTTAATTTCCTTCATCATTGGTTTATAGTTCTCTGTGTATAATTCTTTCACCTCCTTGATTAGATTTATTCCCAGATATTTTATTACTTTGGGTGCTATTTTAAAGGGGATTGTTTCTTTACTTTCTT